ACTCTCATCGACATCACTCAAAATGTGGCATCATCACTTGTATTATTCAAAATGGATTAGAAAGAACAGTTTGTCCTACGGGGCTCAGCAGTTTTCCTTTGACTCAATGCTGATCTGACATTGTTTTAAGTGAGGCGATGTGGCTAGAGAAATACAATAATGATTCTGATAATATAAAAGGCACTAGGTTTCTTTCTCTGTAAACATGTGAAATTATAAGCAAAAAAATAACACATCAGGAAAATGTGTTTTATCTTCCAATGTTTGGAATGTGTAACCTGCCTACTTATGCAGTACAATTAGTCTCAGTCTATATCACCCACTTTTCTACCTACTATAGTACAGAATGTTGGTGATTGTTACATTGAAGATTTGAAGCAAAAGAAGACAAGAATGAAACAATATACAGGCAACATTCTTTTACCTGCTCTTCTTCCTTTAAACATATTTTCTAGAATGTGGCTGCCTATTCCTTTTGCAGAAACAATATTAGGTACTTTAGAGTTATCCTGAAGAAGATCATTTCAAAACCTAGTGATGGATATCAGACTCTAAGTTTTTCAAAGGTACCCTTCTCTTTTGAAGTGATAGGTAAAAACATCCTTATAGTATTCTTTGCCCTTTTCCAGCGTTACCCCCAAAATAACTCCTCTTACAATCATTCTTGGGAAGACATTCACTGGCTAGTCTCTATAGATCTCAGTAAAAGCTCTCCAAGTTCAAAAAATGGAACTATTCATGAATTCAGACATGTTACCTATAGAAGGCTTGCTTTCACAGTGACAGAAATTCAAATACCTTCTTTAGAAACTTAAATTGTGTTATGGTATAAAATTCTGTTTTCTGGGAATTAAAACTTTGTTGAATTTCTTGACTTGATTACTATATCCACTCTTGCCACTATGGGGTTTTCACTGTGAAAATCTGTATTCATTCACTGGCACAGAGGCTGGAAATACCAATGGCATAGAATGCTTTGGTAAAATAAGAAAATAAACCCCAGAAGTACTAATTTTTGTGTTTCTGTATATGAAATGATTCTGTAATATTGCACTACAGTGTCTTTTAAAGGTCTAGAAAAAAAAGTCATAAAGATGAAGCGCCAAAAAAGAAATGAGACTTATAAAGTGCTAAGGATAGTAAAAAGGACTAGTAAAGAAAGCTATGTTTCAGACAATGAGAGACTGGAAGAAAAGAGCTGTTGCTTATAGAAAAGAGTACAATCATTACAGATTAATAACAAAGAAGTGGACTAGCATTTTATCTTCCCTATTAGCAGACTACAGGCAAAAAATATCATTTTTTATGTTTATGCTTAATTTGGAAATTTTAATAAAAATTACTAACTGGTTAAAGAACAGGGGTGATATGACATGATATTAAAGCAAAGACAGAAAAACTAAAGATATATATCTGAAGAAAATGCAGTATGAGCAGAGAATGTGATGGCTGTCAGTAAAGTTAATGTCACTCTAGTGATATTAATAAGAGAGCAGTGTCGAGATAAAGGGAGGCAACAGGGTACTGCATGCCATACGTGCCAGACCACAGCTGTAATACTGTGTTAGTGCTGGAGACACAATGTAAAAGGAACATGAACAATATCACGTACATTTTGATAAGGAAGCTGTAATGGTAAGAAGTCTAAAGAGTTAGGGAAGAACTTATTAATGACTCCTCCTGAGGATTTGGTGTGGAAGAGGGAACACTTGGAAGTGATGGTACCGTTGGGAGCACATTAAGTGCCTTTCTGATTTGAAGAATTATCAGAAAGAACAGGTATTAGTCCCAAAAAAAACAGAGCAACTGTATTTATATTTGTGGCAATATTTAATTTTTTTTTAAGAAATTGAAGGTGTTTTTAAGGTATGATAGAAATGTTCTCCTAGTCCCCTCCTCAGAAAGTCATTATAAAAAAGTATTCTATTATATACCCAACCAGCTTCCACTCCTCTAGGCTATTATCCTGAGGCGTTTCTAGCATTACAACTTTCAAGGAACATAGTTTCTGAAATGAGTCACTAATACAAAGCATTCAAGTACTTATTAAAATAAAGACTTTTTTTTTCTGTAAAATAGGTGCCTACAAACATTTAGACAAGTCGCTAAATTTCAGGAAACTTGGGACAAGCTCTAGCAAACCCAAACCTGACTTTCATACTGATGTAAGTAAGTTTGCATCAATAAATAAAATTAACTTTGGGTGGGTTCTATCTAATAAAATGTATCATGTAAGCATTGCTAATGCTTTCATTTATTAGTATCTGTTAAAGTTACACAGATTTAGGAGAAAAGATCAATGTGGCATCAACATTGCTCTCCTAAAATTCCATGTATTTCCATTTGTCAGTGATCACAAATTAAACACACATTATTCCCAACTGACTACTCTTTCTTGCTTTGCTCTCCTTAGAAATAATACCACTACCATTCTTCCCATTGTTCAAAGTGAAATCATATACTTTCTCTTCTACAGACTATGTCCAAACAATTGCTGAGTTCTTTCACCATAAGAAAGGGCTTTATATTTCTCTATCTTATTGCCATTATGTTGGTACATGCCCTAATTATCTTTTATATGTGCTGCAATTTCTCATAATTAGTATCTGTGCTTCCAATCTCCTCATGAAAGCTCTCCTACACACTGAGTATATAAGAACATATAAGAACTTTTCCTAAAGTATACATCCTTATCAAGTGGCACCTAATTCAAAAACTTTTAGTGACTTGCTGTAAGACTATAACAAAAAAAAAAAAAAGAGGCCTAAACTAATTAATATTGCAATGAAATCTTCTATTATGTGACCTCAATCTAGCTTTTCAGCTTTATCTCTTAGTACTTCTTTTTATGGTTATCACTCTCCAATTAATCCACTGCACTGCCCATTATCTAAGGATTTCCTATGGTTTCCAAGAGCTGAAATGGCCTTCCTCAATTTTTTCTATTACAATTTTATCCACTTCTCAAGGTCCAGGCTTAAAGGTCATTTCCTTCAATCAATCAACCTCTCTCTCAATTATTTATTTCTTTTTCTTGTCCCCTGTGCTCCTATGGAATATTCCTGTCCTTGTCCTATTTACTGCATCATGACTTATATCCTAGCTTGCTTTTACACATGTCTTCTTTTCTACATAGGGTCAAGGACAATGCTTAGCAAAGATTGTAATAGACCCTTAGTGGTCTATAAATGTATTTGGGCTTGATTGAGTCAAAGTCACAATATATTACATGGTCTGGTATAGAAACTTTTAGCCTAGGGACATTGCTTTGCTGGTTTGGAGCTAAACTGGTCACGTATAAACTGCTACACACCTAGGAATTGTATTTCTTCATGGAGGTGTTGAGAACTTACGCTTTCTGTAACAGTATAGTCCATCTTTTTAGTGCAGGCAACCCTGTTACATTGCCTTTCGTTATTCGCTGTATTAACTGAGGTACATTTGTTCTATCAACCAGAGTTACAAGTTTAACTACTCTGTTGCAAGCTTAAATGCCATCTTAAATACTCTGACACCCCATGGGAGGGCAATCTGCTGGGTGGGGAGAAGGTAGGAAACCCTCTCTCACCACCCTCAGTGTCACTGACAGAGACACTGGCCCTTTCTGCTTCACTCTACTGACCAGGAGACACTGGCCCTTTCCGCCTCTCTCAGAGAAACATGTCTAGATAACCACTTCACCAAAGTCTACTCTCAGGATACTCAGTAGGGAGACCTGATTAAACCACTGGTGGTGACACTACTCTTCTTCTAAAAAATATTTTGGGGATATGTAACCTAATTCTGGTCAGTGGACTATGAAAGGAAGCTTACTAAAGTGACTTTGTTCTTGCAAAGAGACCCAAAACATAAAAGTAAAATGTCTGGCTTTTGTTGTGTCTGAAGGTGAGATCTGGAGCCATGACTGCCTTGCATCTACAATAGGCACCAGCCCTTAGACACAGCTGACTTCCCCAGGGTACAAATCAGAGAAAATAAACCAGGGATGACAATGATGACATTGTCGCCATGCTGGGGTCACCTACTTTAGAGCTTTTATTATGTGGCAAAATAAATTTCCTTACTGTTTGAGGCAGTGCATAGTATCTTTTCTTATTGCAGTTAGAGGCACCCAATACACATGGTTTCAGGCTGACTCCAGGCATCTTGCTGACACTGATTATGTGCAGATGCTAATCCTTGCTAGGGCTTCAAGGCTTTATTCCTACTGTGTATGTACACATGTGTGTTCATTTTTGTTAGGTCCTGAATCTACCACTTTGCCCATGGATCTGAGAATTCATAATGTGTTTAAAATATACTGTCCTTTTCCTTTTATAATAACTATCAAACTTACAACTAGTATTTGTCTTTATCCATAGTTTAAAGGCTCCATGAAGACAGTGACTTTATCTGCTAGGAAAGTTCCTGTATTTATAGCCCCTAGCACAGAGCTGGACACAGATAGTCAAGAAACAGTTACTCAGTGAATACCTGTGAAACGAACAAATGCGTTAATGAATATACAGAGAACATCAAAAACACTGCCCTTGTTATTTCCTTTGCTCACACCTCCCAGCCCATGTCCTGCCAAATCAAGTCTACAAAAGTAAGCTATGCTCTCTATTTTAGGAGATAGGATAGGGAGAAATTTACATCTGCTGTAAGTACAACTCTCTCACCTGGTGAAGGAGGGAAATGGAGTTGATTATCACAAATGATTTAAAAAATATTTTCATAAGGAAAAACTACAGCCACCTCCTAAGTGATACTGAATAGCAATACTGTTATTAAGAAAAAAAAAAAGTTCAGGATCTTACTTTTGATAGTCAGAATGAAGTTTAGGGTTAATTCAGTATAACTGAGCAAGCAAAGATTTTTAAATCAAGTATTTCAAGTCTTTTGTTTTTCTAAGGAGGAGATTGAAAGTTATTTTCACCAAGATCAACATCAGCTTTTCTAATTCAATGACATAATAAAACATTTATTGTGAACAAATTCATTGGTAACCAAAAGGATATTTTCCTGGCAAAGCAGTTCCAACTCGATAGTCAGTGTAGCTCTTGTTTGGATGAAAGTTGAAGATAAAAAGAAGACCTGCTCTCTCAAAAGTGATTACCTTATTGGCTTCATGCTTTTCACTTACATAGGCCTGTAAAAATTAACACAAAATAAACTTAAATGATACCCAGATGCTTCTGCAAGAATGTTATTTACTAAAAAGCTTTATTTTTATCAATAACCTTGCATTTTCCAGACCTACTGTAATTTTTCCATAGCAAAGCTAACTACAGTCTTAGAAAATGCTTAAAAAGAACTTAAAAAATTACTTAAAAAATTTTAAGTAATAACATGATACCTTCATCATGTACAGTGTTTGTGTGTAGTAGATCTAATTAAAAGTGATTTTTAAGATGTCTGTTTGAATCTCCAGAAGAAAGAGATATGGCACATAGATTCTTTAAAAATTACTTTTCAAAAAAAAAAAAAAAATAGCAAACTACTGAGATTTCTGAATGTGTAATTATCTTAGAAGTTTATATTACCACACAACTTTGTCAGATTCAGCAACACTAAAATGTCTTTACAATGCATTTTTGGTTACCTGTAACAATGTCTTAAAATAAATCACATCTACAAACTCTCTTTAATACATCATGTTTTATAGGAGGCAGGGAGATGCCTCTGCTTTTTCAACATCTCTCCCCTCTAGCCCCAGCTCCAAGATAGATGACTAATTTCCATGCAGATCAGCAACATCACTCTTGGTAATTTAGAAATGTGAACTCAGACTCTAGAGTAAACAGTATGCCTTTTGGTATTCAACATTGTTCCTACTGAAAAGGAGCATCATTCTGCTCACTCTTCTGGAAATAGCATTACTAATAAATACGATTAGGGTGTTTGTGTCATGTAGCCAATCTTACCGAATATATAAGTACCTCTGTTCAACCATTAAAAAAAAAAAAAACAAACAAACACACACACACACACAGACAACTAAAATAAAAACACATCAACAGTAATTTCAAACAGCACCAGTAAAAAGTAAATGGATTATAAGTAACACATAATATATGAAAAAGCCTGTATAAAATTTGCACCTGTTAATTACATTTTCTAAAACTTATTGAAAACTGAGACTTTAATTCCAGAGAAAAGTCAGGCTCATGAAAAATACAAAACAGCATCCAGGTATAATGGCATCTATTGAAATGACAAGTTAGAGACCAGTAAAGGAAGGGACAAAAGAATAAAGAAATCTACATTTGTGTCAAAGTAGTTTCTTTATGACAGCATAATTATTTATATAAAGAAAAACAGTCAAAACAATTAAGATGTTTCCACAGCAATTTCCAAATGGATTCCATGCCGAGCTTTTGTCATTTATTTTAACCAACTGAAATAAAAATGACTAAATTTAAACAACAACAAGCTAACCAGGAAAGTTAGCAGGGTATTATGTTGAAGATTTTTATTATCTATTGGAGAGACTTCAGTGACATGTTTTGACAACCTAAAGTATGTTACAGGGCACTACACACTGAATAATAAAGCACTGTTTAAAAGATCTGCATATAGATCTAAACCGATTGCCATTCTGAGCATGTACAGCACTGGTGACTAAAACATAACATTTCGAGTAAAGAGCTTACCTGAGGAGCAGAAAGCCAACCACATCTTTCTTCCAATTTATTCATATCCCTGTCAAAGTTATTTAGGAACTTATAGCGAAGAAGGTCATCATCAGTTAAATTAAACTGCCTTCGGGCATAATGGTAGCTTTCATTATTTCCTTTCCTAGGGAAATCTAACCATTCAGGATGCCCAAATTCATTACCTATATTAAAAAAGAAAACAAAAATAAACACCACATAGTAAAATTTGTATTTCTTACTAAGATCACACAATAATTATATTTTTCAAAGCTTTTAAAATTAGTGCAGGTTACAATTTACTGCAACTATCCCCTGTGAATGATGTCTAACCCTGGTTCAGAAAGAATGAAGTTTAAACCAGAGCCCATGTTTGGACTCCAAAGTCCAGGAGCCAGTTTTAGCCTGCATTTCTCATTTCTTCATGCAAACTGAGAACTGTCATACTTATTTCATGTCTGAAATAATCTGAAATCTCTGAGTAATTTTTGAATTTTCTTTCTATAATCTCTGCAACCCTTACAATGTTTCACAATTCCCAAAGGCTTTGCATGCACATTATTTTTGATCCTCAAAGGGACGCTTTATTATATCCATTTCACAAATGAGAACTCCAAAGCTCTGGGCTGTTAAAGGGTTTGTCCAACTTCACACAGATATGTGAAAAACTGTTAAAATTCAGTTCTGATTAAAACTCAAAATTCTTTCCACTTTGTCACAACAGGCAAGTATTTTTAAATTTCAGGCACTACAAAAATCCGAGTCATCAATTTTATTATTCATTATCTTTCTTTCTCGGCTATACCAGTTATCATTAAGATTTATGTGTATATTTAATCTCAAATGTGTGTGTACGCATGTACACAAATGTGTGTGTTCTGCATATGGACGTGCATGAAAAACCTGGGAAATTTGGTGTAGAATTCATTTTTAAAATATTGTTCATCACAATTATGAGAATCAGCAAAATACACATAAAATGTAATAAAAACACATTTTTCACTCTGAAAATCAGATTTACAATATTAGTTGTCTAATAGATAGGTTTCTATAGTTTTCTCCAAGTTGTTTTTTATTTTATGGCTTCTTTTCCCCTCTAAAATTAAACGTTAATTTGCAGAATTTACTTTGATTTGCAACATTAATGCTAAAAATTCTCCTCTGAGTTAGAAAACGCCATTGCTAAAACATGTGTTCTACTTTTAATAAGAAATATATTAATATTCTAATAAAAGCTAATATAATTCACAATGGTTTACTCTATAGTTGCTTAAAATGGTAAACTGTGCTAAGAAACAATGCAATTTACTTAAATTTCAATTTAAACTTTTAGGGACTATAACAGTCAAAATAAACATAACATCCAAACAAATATACCTACAGCAGTTTCATAAAGCTAGAGTTCACAAAACTTTGCTAACTTCTATCATCTTATTATAAATTGTATTTCTTATGATGCTGTCCACCATTGAGACACAAGACAGAATTTGATTTTTGACCCTGTGGGGCCCTATATATTCACTTAGTTGTGCTTTGCATGAGACAAGGAATTTTTCTCTGTAATATTTAAAAGCCCTGTTTAGGTCTGGGGCTTGATTGACATAGTCCATAGTATACCAATGACATAATCTATCATCCATTCAAACAGCAGAATGATGCATTTCAGAATGGTAGTCAGGGGTTATGAGTTACTGATAAAAAAGTTACTGCCAGTTTGGGGAAAACTGTATGTCTAAATGGTAGTGAAATTTTATGTAGTAGAAAACTTAAGAGATACACTAAAAATTCCATAAGGTACCTAAGGTACAGTAATCTAAATATTAGATACAATCTTTCTGTAGGCAAATTATTTTTATTTTGGTATGGCCATGCATTTCTGAATGGATTCCATTACTAATACTTTCTTCCTGGGGAAGATTGTTAGGTTATTGTCATCATGATCTTCACAGTGGAGGCAGCAGTGAAAGACTAATGTCTGCTTACTGTGTGCCAAACACTACTATAAATATTGCATATGAATGAACTCTTTACAATTTCAATAACCCTGAAAAAGGTGTATTTTTGTCTTTATCTTATAGGGAAGAAAATAGAGGCACAGAGAGTTATTAGGCGTTTCAGCTTATCAACTTAGTGTAGTTTTAGCACCCTCTTACTAATCCATAACATGGCTCAGAAGTACACACCACAGTATGCACAAAAAGTAACCAAAATCAATACATGGATAGAGAATTCAAGTTAAGGAACAGTATGTGCAACTGCACTAGAGTGTGAGAGGGAGAAGAGGTGAGTTCAGTTTAACCATAAAATGGGGGTTATGGCAGGTGAAGACATGGGGTAAATGTGATTAAATTAGATAAAGACAGAAATTTGGATTTTCTATTAAAGGCACTAGGGGACCAAAGTCTAGGTAGGAGAAAGAGGAGTTCAAGCATTTTCTTGCAAAGTATCTCTGGCAGAGACAGGAAAAGATAAAAGACATCACTGACAGGAAAATGGTGGAAAGCTAGTATGGAACCCAAAGTATAAGGTAAGAGATGATGAGGAATTGTAGGAATGGAGAAAAGAATGATGGTTCTAGTGATATTTCTGAGATGGACACAACAGATTTGATGACTGCCAGCTGAATGGAGGTAGTAAAGAAACTGGGCAGCACCATCATTAACTGCATTAAGGGAAAATGTTGATAGGAAGTGTGTAGGGAAAAGATACTAAACTTATTATTTTTTGCATGTTTCATTTAAGAGCTGATGAATATACAGACATTTAAGGAGATAGCTTAATAGTGGCAGGTTACTGAATTTCAGGGGAGAATTAATTACACTAGATTTACTCACTAGATCACCAATTTATTACAAATGACACTAAAAGATAAGAATCAACAATACATAAGGGAAAATATAGGAAAAAAAGGCATGGAATTTCTATGCTTTCTCTCTCAAATCTTTATGTTCCCCAAACTGAAAGCTGTCTACAGATGTCTCTCAAATCTTTATGTTCCCCAACCTGAAAGCTGTCTGAAGACATTCTTGTTATATTTCTATGGAGGCATTTTTTTTTTTAAAGATTTATTTATGTATCCAGAACTAGGGTACAGAACAGAGGTGCAGGGAGGATTCACCAGAGACAGAGTGGGGAGCAGAACAGGCAGATGGACAAAGTACACTGCTGAGGGGAGCAGCAGGAGAGACAGGGGAGGTCTGTTGTGTCATGTTGGTCACCTCAGGGTCTGGGAATCAAATTCACACTGAAGCAGCTGCAGCTAGCTTACTGCTATGCCACTGGGGAGGGCCCTGGAGGCTTTTTTTTTTTCTTTCTTTTTTTAATACTTAGGCAGGAGTGATTAAATCATGAGTTACCCTATTCAACATCCAGATTCTCCTCTTCTCCAGGTCAGAGGTGTGGGCTGGAGTGGTTTCCCTGGCAACTAGTTTTCACCCTCAAGTGCTTTCCAAAAGTCACCCTCATTAACATAGAAAGATGCCATTAACATTTTCAACAGTTAAGAACATCCAAAAAGGTGCTATGAACCAGGAATTGTGGAGGAACAGCAAATATGTCTAAGAAAACTATTTTGGTCATTTAAATGACTAAATGTGTATTCATGGGTTTCCTATAAATCACAATGTCTCAAAGGTCTTTGTTCAACCATTCTGGCACTCTATCTACACAGCCAGTTTCCAGAAAGTGAAAAGTAAATTTCTGTTGTTTATAAGCCACCCAATTCATGATACTTTGTTATATCAATCCAAAGAGACTGTATTTTTTGATATTTAATTTTCACTTATAGCTACACATGCAAGTCTACTTTCCTGCCTACAACTTGCTTACAAATATATAGATCTACATTTTATTCTATTTTGAATTTAGCATTGATATTTTCATGTGAATAAATATACATCTCCATGATGATGGTATTACATTGTGTGCATTATTATTTATTTTAACTAATAAATCAATTTAAATTTTTATTTTGACTTTCTCTGACGTTTAAATATGTAAAAACATGACCAATATTATCAATTTGTCTCTGCACAGTTGTCTGATATTTTCCTAAAATAAAATGACTATGAAGAATAGTTGTTGAAATGTAAACAATAGATTCTAAGAGAAATTTTCCAGGTATGAAATTTATTAATTATTTGAAGACACAGGTAAAAATTGACAATTTGTTACTGAAAATAATGTTAAACATATACACAAATTATATTCCTCATGCATATGTTTACAGTTCTAGCTTAAAGTATTTTTCATCATTTACATTTATGATTTTATATTAATGCTCTTTCATCGGTCCATTTGAAACCTTCATTTCTCTTTTCAAAAGCATGCATAAAGTTATCAACTATTAAGAAGAAAATTCATCATATAAGCCAATTAAAACACCTAGACAAATATAAGAGAAAGTTGAAAGTAGGAAAAATGCTTGACATCATAATCCAATTTAGGGTTTTAATATATTTGCACTTTTGACTTAATTTACCTTTTCTGTTCCAATAAGATAATTCCAATAAGCATACTTACATACTATAAAAGAAGAAATTAAATCTCTAAATTAGGGAGAGCTATTTTTTTAAAAATTCAAGATTTAACGACTACCCTATTCTATTAAAGAATAATGTATTATTATCTATTAGGGACTACTTCAGATTTTTCTGAATATTTTCTCCTTGAAAAACTTCTTTAGAAGCTTAAAGATATTGAAAGTTGCATACAACAACAACAACAACAAAAGAAAAGCTACATTAGTGATTACAGACAAAACATTCTACAGGGTGGCTTTTGAATGTTATATCTGCTGTAAATGAGCTGACAAGGGGCAAATTAAGTTTAATGTAGACAAACCCAACATTAAATTTCATATTTGGTTTAAATCTGTAAACACAAGCATAAAATAAATGGAAGCAAATCACAGGGAGAATTTCAAAGTGACCTTGGAATAATCATGAACCATTCTGAGACTGAACAGAGAAAACTGGAAAATGTGTGTAGTCTCTCACACTAGCTCACAGCTCGCAAACCTAACAAAGAAAAATACTATCATTAAAAGAAGTTAAGGATGTTCTTTCCAGGTATGGCCTACAAATTACTTAGAAAATGTGGCAGCAGTTGAGACAGTACAGTGAAATATGGCCATCCAAAAAGCTTCTAACTAAGGGCTGCTATATATATAAAGAGGGATACAAAA